TATACGGGGTGTTCCATTTAAAAAAATATAGTTGCTAGGACTTTTTGATAGAAGTGGCAACACCGCAATGCTGAAAATATTTTAGATCGATAGAACAGGTAAGGAAATGTGAGAGGTGAAATTTTCAGAAAAATCATGCCTTGCGTTTTCCTAAAACGTCTAACCTACCATCGACCGTGAGTCACGCTGTATAATTAATGACTAATGTAATGAATCATTATTAGTTCATCGTATAAGTTTAGAAATGTCCTTGTAGGATGAAACTGCAGTAACATTAGTTGCAAATAAAAGTGGTAAACAACATAGAAAGTTTCATTTCTCTTTTCTTCATCATGATTTCCTACCACGTAGTAACGGCTACATCCATCAATTTATAATGAAAAAATAGCTCCCATTTTTGGAATTTCATTCAGAATCAGAAAGAAGTATATTCAAGTTGAACTACAAGGAGCCTACAATCAACATGTATAAATAAAAGAAATGTTAAATTTGTCATCCTCACATAAATTCAAATTATGTACTTCCATTCAGTTGGTCAAAAATAGGCTCAAACATTGAAATCTGACTTTCAAAATCAATGGTGACCAACACAACCATCATTTGACAAGATATTCAGGCAATCTGATATTAATGAAAATGAAAACAAATATTGGGTAAAATCAAGTTTTTCAACGATCTACCGAATGTTTTCAAAAATATCAACGAACAAATGTTCCGGATTTTTCTTTCAAGTTTCAGTTCTGATTTATCTTTTTTCTGGTACTCTGTTACTTTTTACTGTTACTGTTTCAGAAAGATATTTAAGTAAATTTATATACTCGTTTTTATTAGAGAAAACATGTGAGGAACGATCAAAGGAAATGGAAGAAAGTTGGATCATCGAGAGGATTGATTGACTTGCAGTTTGGTACCATTAGAAAAAGTATATATCACATCTTTGAGATGATGCTCGTTTCGCTCGGATGATGAAGCAATTCAATACCTTTTGGCAACACTGCATTTCCTAAATTACACACAAAATCGGTTCTTTGATGCCCGGGTGGTATAACCAATATGCAATATTCCATGGAATTCTGTATATTGAATACATGTTGGAGCAGCGGTCTCAGAAATACGAAGTAGAATGCAGGATCCCACAGTAGAAGATGTATCCAAAGGGTGTTCCTGTTATTCGTTTCACTCAATCCATAAATGTTGAATATCCAATGATCCCATTCCCATTGTGGAATAGCTGGTATATTTGGATATGGATATAAAATCAAAGCACCGGCAAGCTTTCCGTCTTCATCTTGTACTCCCAGAGCTAAGTAGCATTTCGTTCTGAAACCAAAATTGAAAACTAGAGCATTTCGTTTTTCGACAATATTTTCTTTCCGAATCTGGTGTTATATGGAGGAAATTAATGTAATACTGTTGTAGAGCATTAAATATGCTGAAGAAAAATAGACATTTGACCGTTGTTAATATGATGCACATGGATTGTTCAACATTGAGATTCTTATATTTGCCTCTCCCAGTAGGACATCCTGAGTACGTCACAGTAATAAATGATGTTTATCTCGTCATTATAAGTCATATTCGGTTCGTTGAACTCTTCATGCAGCAGGGTCATTAACGACATGTAATTGAAAATCTCTAAAGTATTAAAATCATTACCCAAGAATATGGACCGAAGAACTGTATTCAGATTTTATTTTTTTTCATTGTTTGACTTCTTNCACAAAGTTCATTTCTATCTTTACAGACTTACAGTTGGGTATCTCGAATTCCGAGATTCTTACCTAATTTAAGCTTAAATGACTGGATTAATAGTGAGACGCAGAATAGAAGGGGACTGTGGGAACCTCCCTGAAATACGCCCCTTCTGAAGTTACCCACCCTGTTCGGACTCTGACTTGACTAGATGTTATAGTGAAGTCCTCCAGATTGGCATCAGTTGTTCAAGGCAGCTCATTATTTTGTCGGGTACCGCAAAGCATCTGAGCAAATACAAAATGAGCTCATGCGATGTTGTATCAAATGCCTTAGGCCATAGAAAGGTTACGATTATACTGTGTTGAGTTCTGCGTTACGCATCTATCGATGAGAAGGGTTTTTTACATCCAGCGACTCCTCTCTTCGACCCTCTCTGCTCATATATCCGTTCGAATTCATGGTCAACTAAGGTGAGTATTCGTTTGTTTAAGATGTTCGTTAACAACCGATAACACGAATTTATTCGTGTTATCGGCATGTATTTCTCAGGAATAGACAAATCCTCGCTTATGGAGATGAGATTGATACATTCCCATATTGTTTGTATGAAGATGAAGAAGTAGATGGCAAAACCTTTCTTTTAACACACCAATTTCACACACGGTTCCACCTTGTTTTTTACGCTTTCTCCATAGAAAACTATTTTTTTTCTCATCAGCGCTGATTTTTAGTACGATTGGCAGCTTTTATGTTGAACATTTATCAGAAAACAACTGGGTGGAACAATGTGTATATGCCCTCAGACACTTCCCCAGACGTGGTGAATAATTTATGATATTCACTAGGCTGGCTTATTTTTTAAATAAATATTGTGTATTATGTATTTTCTTTTGACGAGGCAAAAAATGTACTCACAAAATTTCATCTAATCGTATCTCTCCAAACAATGAAGGCGTTTGCTTCGGATCTATTAGTTTTTCCAATAATCTGGTATGGTGAATATTGAGTCGTATAACATTTTTTGGTGACAGTACCACCGATTTTTTACTGGAGGTGTATGATTTGATGACTTTTTTGCTGGAACTTGAACTTTTTGAAGACATAATTCGGTTAAATCACTTATGTCAAATATGACAGCGCCAGAAAACTTATATAAATAATCTGACACGTTACTTGATAATAGGCCTAGACGATATAAGAATAAAAGTTCTGAAATATGTCATTCCATCTATATCTGAAATTCTATTGAATCTTATGAATCACTCTATAATGAAAGGCGTGTTTCCGAGTGTCTTCAAAACAGCCAAAGTTATTCCTATTCATAAAAAGGGTCCAGAACATGTTTCTTCGGAGTAACGNCGAGCTATGTTATACTGTGGACCGTTATTTTTGTTTTATATAATTTTCATATTTTTATTTATGACACGTCTTATATCATGTAAATGATCGAAAAAACGAATAAAGTTATTATAATTATTATAATCAAATCATTTTTCAAACGATCAACATGAAGTTATTTATTCACTATTATTGAACTTGTTCTCATGAAATGTCATTGACTAACATTTTTATATAACCAATACTGGGATGCCAGTGGACAGTACAGTGTCGCAGTACGATTTCTATAAAAGCTCCAAAACTAGCACACCAAGTAGAAGGGACTGAAAAAACGGCCATCGGTTAAAGCGAAGAATAATTGATGTATGCACGGCTAAAAACTCGAGAAGGAAGAGGAGTCTTTTCCCTACTTGTAGGGAGCTGTCTTAGCGCACAGCTTGGATACCTGAACACGAAGGACACAAGTGGAATTGGAAGGTCGATGCTATAGCTCGTGAAGGTGCATTCGTGGCTGATAGGTACAGATCCCTTCTGTGGGCCGAAGAGAACAAGCATAAAGATATCTATAAAAATCGCTAGATATCTATCAAGATCTCTAAATTGGTGGAACGTGTTTCCAGGCAAGATTGAAAGGGTAGCGGCATGTCTATTAACAAGGCATTGTCAGCACGTTGAACTCCACGAAGGTGGAGTTCAACGCATTACATGTGCTGCGTGAATGTGTGTTAGAAAGGCTACATCATGGTAGATGCGGAACCAGAGGCTATATGCTACGTGAAGGAGCCAATATCAAGGCTTTGGAGTCTCATTGAAGAGATCAAGCTGGATGAAGAGCTCTGATAACGAAGGAGCATCACAAAAGATATGCATTGGTCGCAGTGAAACAGGCCGCACGCCAGTTCCTCTACCAATCTGATATAATCTACGTATTGATTTCTGGATGAAATTCGAACGACAACAGTTGATATATACTTTTCTTGCTTATCTATTTGAACGAAACAATAGAAATTGATAGAAATTCAGTTGTTCAGGAATTTGGCTACTTTGTTTCTAGAATGTCAATATACATATATTACAAATGTGATTCAAACAAAAACTTAACAATGTTATTCCTCAATGCTCGATCCATAAAAAACAAAATACAAGAATTAGAAATAATCTTAGCTGATATAAAAGCAGATATTATCATTATAACTGAAACTTGGATCAAAGATGAAGAAAAGAAGTACTACAACTTCCCAGGTTTTTCTGCAGAATTTTCGTGTGGTAAGCAACGTGGAGGTGGAGTTGGAATTTTTATTAGAAATCATATACAGTATGAACTAATAAAAATGTCGAGCTTGGATATATCATTTGTCGCTATAAAACTAAAATTACCCAATATTACTATTTGTGGAGTTTATCGATCTGAAAAAAACAAAATTAACGACTTTTATAGATATTGAATTTTAAAATTTCAATGAGAACAATAACGATGTTTATGTATTTGGTGATTTCAACATTGATAACCTCAAGAAAAATTCTGCAACCAAGAAACTTCTCAACATATTAATTCATTGACCCAATTCAAATCTACGGTATAGCAGTTACCGGATAGTAGTCCAAACATGTTGTAACACCAATTCTTTGTTTTTTCAGATAAGCCTTGGGATAGAGGATGGAGTCCTTCAAGCCTACAATCCGGATTTTGAACTTCAATTTGCCCACAAGGTATCACAAATGACAAGGTTTTCTCAAGCTGATCTGGATCAGGCTACATTTCTCTATCTCCTGAGAGATGACCGCGAACAATTATTGTATTGCTATTTGTTCCAGGCGATGAAAATCTCCGACGTGAGTATTTATATTGATTTTTAGATGGCATTATTAAGACGAGTTACTGCTTCGCTTCGAGAGGTGTAACTTCTATATATACATATATTGGCTATAACAGGTGAGAGTGGCGATCCCTTTGGCAGTCCCTCATCTTGCGTAAAGAATTCGTCCTTCAGGTGAAAGTAACAGTCTCGTACACAGTATCCTAGTAATTCCATGATTACTTGTATAGGTGAGTTTGTTCTATTTTTCAGGTCCCCATCTTCGGATAGCTTCTTCTGTATGATTTGAAGTGCTTCTTCGACAGGAACTTTGGTGTAGAGACTTTCCACGTCGAAACTGATCTGTTGATCCTGCTCTTTGACTTCGATTTCCCCTGATAGTTCAACGAAATGCCTTGAATTTTTCACAAAAGATGATGTTTTACCCTGCAATGGTTTAATTATTGGTAGTAAAAATCTAGACAGTTTCTCAATGGCTGAATCTCTGGAGCTAATGATCGGTTTTTTGTGGATTTTGACTAGTCCATACAAGTGAGGGGGCTTACTGTGGTGCGGTGTTAGCAATGATCTCTCTTTTTCTGTGAAATAGACTTCGTGTTTTTTCTAAGTCTGGTACAACTTTCTTTCAATTAATGCAGTAGGGTCTCTAACGATCTTCGTGTATTTTCCTTTCTGAAGCACCTCTTTGACCTTCTGTTCGTAGAGATCAGTATCCATCACAACAGTAGCGTTGCAGGTAAGATCTTGATCGTGTTGTCTCTCAGTAGCCCGTTCAGAGCTCTTCGTTCTCCATCGCTTATGTTAGAAGTTGGAACTGGTTCTCGATCTAGCTGTTCTCTGATTTTCCATCTGAATTTTTCTGCCTCGATCTGATCAATAAGAAAACTGGTGGATTCTACTGCAGTTATTATTTCCAAAGTGGGCACAAATGTTGGTGCAATGGCGAAGTTCAGACCTTTCCTCAACAAAGATTTCTTTATTTCCGTGAGCGGGTGGGAACTCACGTTGATGACGTTGGCGGTTTCATAGTTGTCCTGTTCTCATTCTGTTGTATTGTTCTGTTGTATTGTTTCTTTAAGCACGTGCTTTCAATCTTGGCAAAGATTGGTCCATGATCCTGTTCCAAGGTTTCTCTTCTCATTTCTTCAGAACGTTCTATGGCATCCTGCATCAGAGGTAACCTCTTCCAACGGTGGTAATTAATTTGAGACCGTATTATGCGTTTGGCTCTCTCTCCTGGGATTGGCGATTTCAGCAAAAAACATTTGGGTATGATGTTGTCTGTAGCTTTGTACAAGAAGCTAAGGTGAGTTTCCTCTTTGGTAAGCTTGACCATAGTCTTCTCATATCCTCGGAATAAGTCGCTGGTTCCGGGTCTGTACCTGGCATTCAACGTTTGTTTGAAGGTGGTTCATTAATTTCATTATCCCAAATTTCAATATTTTAAGTTCAAAAAATGAAAGGGGGAGCACGTTAAAGAAGTGCACTGTATATGGTGCTCGTTAAAACCGGTCAATTTTCATTCATTTTCAAGCAGATATAATTCAACTTTTCTCTACATTTTATCAGAGGTATACTATATGAAAAACCATTTTCAAAATTGTAGTTTTTGCGTAGAGGACTATTCAAGCACTTCAACCGTTACCTCATCGCCTCTTATAATGTCTACCGCAGTAGTAGAGGAAACGTCTACTCGTTTGAGTAACTCATTCAAATATTTCAGTAGTGATATTTTATTTTTTTTCTCACAGGTTTCAAATCTATTATTATTTTTTAGACAATGCAAATTCTAACTTGTAATACTCATCAAGGAGCCATACTCAAACAATCTACAATCAGTAATCATATAGGTTTTCCTAAGGAATGTCATACATGATTGAATTCATGTGTGTACATAACCTCAGTCGGACAATCTGAATGCTACAACTGAAAACAGCAAATATTTTGAAAATATTTCCCTCCAAAATCAAACAACGGTAGCAATGGGGAATTTTTTGTTTTTGAAACTATTCTATAATACATTTTCTGTATAAATATGGATTTGTAGAAAACCAAAACTTTTCTTTTCCTAACAATAATAAGTATTATTAATGACTCATAACGAAACTACCCTACAACAATGATATAACCAGTTAGTTTTGGAAAGTTGCTCTCCACTACATTCACTGTTTCAGTAACGTTCAGTAGTTCTTTCACATGCTTATCTCATATAGTTAGTATTTTCATATAAAAACTTGTATTCAAATAACTTTTTTCCACACACCTTGGACAATCTTCCAAATGTTTTCATAGTTGATGGGATTCATCGCCTCCCTGTCAATTCTACCTTCAGAAGTTTTTCTGAAATTGGTGAGTGGACTGGCTATCACATGCACTATACCATCAGAACATTCATGATTAGGCCTCAGGATCTTGATGTATCTGTTGTACCATTTCAAATAGTAATCACCTTCTATTCTCACTACCATTATTCTCAGTGGACCAGATTCGGTTTGTAGTTCTATGTCGGTGTAATTTCTGGCTTTTGTCAGAGAATACAACTGTTCTATGGAATACGGTACTTGAGAAATTATCAGATGCCTCCCTAAAATATCGATATCTCTTTCGATCGGTTCCAGGCCATATTTCTTGGATTTAATCCAAGCACTGTCATCAGGAACGAAGTAGGTGAAACTGACGTTTTTACCGGAAAAAATGTTGTTGAATCCAGTTTTAGCCCCCATTTCATAAAATACATCCAGAGACGGATCGGAAGCGATTTTGTCTGATACAGGTAGGTATGGAAACGGTTTCAGTTTTCTACTAAATATTCCCAACGGTTGGGATATCACATGAATAACACCATTCTTTATTGGTATATTCGGAACCACTATCTCTGAAAGGAACTCTCCTGCGCCATAACTTCCTCTAGTCATTCCTTTGACATACAGTTTTTCATTCTTCTCTTCAAATGATAATACTATATAGGCGTAATCGTCGTTCGCTAGGGACTCGTAAGCGAAATTTTTCGGCGTCGGCCTAGTGAATAGAACGTAGAATGGTATGACATGTCCTAATATTGTGTGCTTATTCATTATGTTGAATTTGTGGGCGTCTATGCCCGTGTCTAGTGGAACGAAGTATGTGTAACCGGCATTCTGCTTGAAGACCTGTTGAAGCTTGGTTTCTTGGACTTTGGTGAAGAAGTTGGATACTGTTTTTGAAGCGCCCATATTCCAATTGGAAGGGGACGACAAGAAGTCGTAAGCATTCGGTGTGAAACGTGGTGAAGAAATCATTGGATTCAACATTTCGTCTATCATATGGAGGACCTGAAAATAATGAAGTTTTAATGTCGGTCTCATTTGAAAGTGATTGACTTTCCTTGTCTAATATACCTAATTCGAAATCTTTGAAAGAACAAATAAAATTAGAATGATTAGCTGAAATATCAGTAATGAAAAGCAATAAAAAATACAATAAAGCAAATTGAATAATCAAGATGAAATATGGAAATGACCAACTAAAAGACGAATTCTTTACGCAAGATAAGAAGATGTTAATGAGATAGCCACTTTTACCAGTCACAGCCAACATATATACAGTGTGTCTCACTTCTAATGGAAACACCCCCGTATCTTCCGTAATATTCGAGGTAGAACGATGAAACTCTCTGCACTGATGGAAATGTTCAAAATGCACCTACCACCTGAATGGGGTGGTATCCTCAGATAGGCTCAAAATGGGTGATAGAATCTCACAGCATCTGTATCTTCCATACCTGAGAGTACTCTCCAGATAGAATGAAGGGGTTCAGGTATTGGAAGCGAACTATTTTGCGTCGTAATATGTTTTACCTAAAAATGGGGTGTTCCATCGCGAGTGGCGGACAGTGTATATCACTTTGGCCAACCCCATTCAGGTGGTAGGTGCATTTTGAGCATTTCCATCAGT